CTCTAGAGGTTATATACTATAGTTATATTCTATAGTATTATTATAGGCCTTATATTTATCTTTTTTTTCTTTAGATATAGAAGGTATATTAACCTCTATATTAGAAGAAGGAATAATTTACTTATTTATAGAAGTACTAGAAGGAATAGTAGTTTTTTTCTCTCTCTTATAGTACTTTCTATAAATTTAACATATAAGGTCCTTACTATAGAGGACCTATAAGGCCTAGAAGGAATATATATAGTATATATATTATTTCTTTCTATAGATAAATAAATACCTTCTTCTATATAGGTATTTAGTTTATCTAACTAAATACGCTTTTCTCTAGGTCTATATATTAAGACCTTAGAGCCTATTTTATATATATTAGATAAGTCTAGCTTATTATCCTTATTAGGATAATAATAGTCTAGAAAAGCCTCTATAGGGGTCTTATCTAGGCGTTTTATAGTAGTATAATTTAATAACCTAGTAGTTTCTTTAAGAATTATATCCTATAGAAACTTAGGCAAGTTATTTACTACTATAATAGTTCTAGACTTATCTAGAATAGCCTTATTAGTTCTTTTTACTATACTGTTTTATTCTAGTGTATAGGGCATAAAAGGCTCTAAAATAATACTTTTTTCTTTAATATAGGTAGTTAATTCCCTTATATTAAATTTAGTTCTATTATCTAAGCGTAAACGCTTAGGATAATTATACCCCTAATTTTTATAGTATTCTAGCTTATTTTTAAGGATATTAATTATATCCTCTTTAGTTTTAGAGAATTCTATTTCTCTAAGGTTAAAATAATTATCTATAAACAGAATAGTATAGTTATATCTATTTATAGAAGTAAAGGTTATTTTAAGAGTATTTATATATACTTTTTCTAAGAAAATAGTTACCTTATTATAGTTAATCTTAGGCTATTACCTAGTTAACTTAAAAGAAATATAGTTAAGGTAGTTTAAGTCTTCTTCCTTTAGTTTATCTAAAGGAATTCCCTTAGTTAACTTAGTTATTTTAACTAAGTAAAGATAAAAAAGATAGGCTAGTTTTTAATACTATTCTTCTATTATAGTATATACCTCTTCTTCTGTTTTTAAAGAGGTATTATCTTCTATTTTAGAAGATATATTATCTCTAGTATCTTCTAGAGATAAAGAAGGGCTTTTTTCTTTTATATTATATAGAAGATTACTCTTAAGAGGTCTAGTAATATTTAGATAAAAGCCTCTCTTTACTATATTGATATTAGCAAAGGGCTCTCTATTACTATTATAGAGATTCTAGTTAATAAGAAATCCTTCTCCTTTATAGTGTAAAAGGCCTAAAAATATAGATATAAGAAATTCTAGTATATATAAGGTATTATTTAACCTTATATAGTTAATTTTCCTCTTAAAGTATATAGGAAGTATTATAGTTCCTATTCCTTTAGGTCTAATAGGTCCTGTACCTATATTAACTATAGAAATATTTTCCTTAGTTAATAGGTCTATAAAATAGTCCTTGTTATTAGATATATAGACTATTAAACCTATATTATATAACTAGTTATCTTATTAACTTAGATAATTAAGATAGGCCTTATAAGTGTAATATTAACCTTCTTAGTTATCTTCTTCTAAAGGCTAGTTAATTTAGTAGGTTATAGTAAAAGTTACCTTTTCTTTGCCTTTAATAGGCTATAGGTTTAATTCTAGGTTATTAACCTTCTCTTTAGGTCTTTTAAACCCCTTATTTCCCTATTTATAGGGTTTCTTGTCCTTATTAAAAAGATAGTTATATTCTTTAATAAAATTACCTTTATTAAAAGAAGAAAGGCTTTTATTATAGTTATTAGACATAGGCGTATTATTTTTTTACTTATTTTTGTCTAATATATTATTAATAAAGGCTTCTAAAGAAAAAGGTTCTTTAGTTCTTAAAGTACTTCTTTGTCTCTTTACCTATACAAGAAAATAACTACTTAAAGTAGCTATAAAGACTATTTTTAGTCTATATCTTCTATTTTAGCCCCTATGTTATTAAGCTTAGAGATATAACCCTTAAAGGAGCTAATAAACTTATTTAAGGTATTATAATTCTCTAGTTTAATAGTATAAAATTCTAAGTATAACTATTACCTTAGAACAAGGCTAGTTCTCTTATAAGAAGACTTTAGTATATTTAAAGTATCCTTAGGATTCTTTAAGTTAAATACTAAAGATAAGGGTTCTTTTTAAAGGTTTTACTTTATAATTAATAAGGACTATATTAAGTATATAAAAAAGTATATCTCTTATATAAAAATATATCCTATAAAAGCAAGAATATATAATAACAAAGGTAAATATAGAGATATAAAGATATAGATATAAAGAGAGTATAATAGTTAGTCTTATTATTTTATTACTAACTGTTCTATTTTACTTGCTTAGAGAAAGAATAAGATAGACTAAAAATAGAAAAAGATTTAGCCCTTATATAGACATATCTAGCTTACTAGAATATTCTATACTTATATAAGCTGCTTATAAATTAACCTAAGATTATATAACTTAATAACCCTAGTTAAATAACCCTAAGTTAAAGCAGTAACCTTGTTAAAGAGATAGTGTTAAGAGGAGGTTTCTTAGATATTCTAGTACCTTCTCCTATCTTCTAGTGATTACGTAATTAGATATACTTACTTAATTAATATATATATTAATCTACTAAGTTAGTAAATTATAAATATATATATCTTATATATATATAACCTCTATAATAGAGGAAATATAAGATAAAGAAGTATTAAGAGTATAAGAGATACTCTTAGTTCTTATACTTCTAATAGATATACTATTTATAGATTATTTATTTAAGTAAAAGAGTAATAATTAAAGCCTATAAAAGTATTAGTAAAGTTAACTATTTTCTTTACTTCTTAAAAAAAAAGTATACTTATAGTAGCTATAGTAGCTAGATTATACTATAGCTACTATATTCTTAAGCCTTATAGTAGCCTTAAAGGTATATATATAAGCTTTACTAAAGATAATAGTTTTATAAAATATTATAAAAAGAGTACTTATAATTAAGTAAAGTAGTATAGTAGTATAAGAAAACATTAGTAATTAGTTATTATAAAAATAATAATAGTATATTATAATTATTATTATAGGTATTAAAGAAAGAAAAGAAAAAAGTAACTATAAACTTAGCCTTAAAGTAAATATTTATCTATATATAGGCTAGCTTTAAAGTAAGTAGACTTACTAATAAGAGCACTTAATACTAGTAGCCTATAATTATATAATAACTAGCCTTTTTATACTAAAAGAACTATTTTTCCTTTATATCTAGGCGTATAGTAACCTTTACTAATACCTAAGGGGGTATATTATATAGGGTATTACTAACTAATACTACCTTCTAGAATAATATTACGTAGTAATTAAAGCTTTACTTGTTAATTTAAATACTTATATTAGAATTTACTAAGTAAAATAATATTAAAAAAATACTAATTATAGTCCTATAAATAAAAGAAATAAGCTACTCTTAACTATATAAAATACTATTTAAATATACTACTTAATATTAGAAAGTTATATCTAGTATATTTATTCCTAAGATTTATAAGATAGTTACTAGTAGTAATACTATCTATATAATTAATACTACTTTTATAATAATTCCTAACTATCTAAAGCTACTATAAATACTTATAATACTTTATAGTAATTTATACTTACTTTATTAGTACTTTATAAAGCTTAGTACTATAAAGAAAAAGTAACTTATAATAAATATAATAGCTTATTACTACTTATATAAGTATTATAAGATTAATAATATATAGTAGACTTATAGTAGTAGTAATTTTATAAGTAAATTTATAAGGTTATTACTAAATAATATATAAAAGAAGCTTATAAGTAATAAGAAGTTAAAGATAAAGAAAATAACTAAGCTTTTTATATATAATAACCTATATAAGTAAAAGGTATTTAATACTTTTTATCTTTTTACTTTTCTTATATATTTTAGTTATTCTTTTCAATAATTATAAATAATAGAAAGTTTTTAGTACTATAGAAAGTTACTAGTATCATAATATTAACTATTATAGATAAATATGTAAGTTATTATATTACCTTAAAAACTTATTACTAGTAAACTTTTAAAGAATTAGCTATATATTTACTAAGAATTTATAGTAATAAGTTTATTATTTTATTAACTAACCTATAATAGTAATTCTTTTATTCTTTATGTATAATAGAGATTTTAGTTACTTTAATTATTTATTAATTACTAAAAATATATACTTAACTATATTAACTTATTTTTAGTGTAACTAATAAGAACCTTTTATTATAATATTTTAAGTACTTTATTAAGAATTAAACTTACTTTAATTAATTTATAATAATTAATATTATATATCCTAGGAATAAAAACCCCTTATATATTATTAATATCAAAATAAGCTTTTAAGATACTACTTCTGTTAAGTTAATACTATATAAGACACCTAAAATACTTTTCTATTATACTAGATAAGTATATATATAGGTCTACTAGACTATATTTTATATAACTAAGGTGTAAACCTTATATTAAAAGAATAAAACTAAGGTATAACTTTACTATATAAAAAGAAATTAGTAAAAATCTACTTATTATTTAGTAAAGCTAAAAAGAAAATATACTTTTAGTGTATATATATAATAGTCTTTATAACGTACTAGGTAATAATATAGTTAAAGAAGCTATTCTTTAAACAGCTATAAAGGCCTTAAATAACACTACTAGCTCTTAAGGGATTATATAAATTCTTTTTATCTCTAGGATATACATAAAGATCAATAAGAGTTTACCTCTACTATATAATATTTCCTAAAGGGCTAAGGTAATTTACAAGAATAAGAAAGATTTAATAGGTAAAAAAGATAAGAGCTAGATAGCTAAACTTCTATGTCTCTTAATAAAATAAGTAATTTAAGGTGACTTATACAGAATGTCAGGTGTCCTGAGCTCTAAACTCTTTGATGTGTTTGCTTGATCATCTCTTGCTTTTCCTCTAGGTCCTTCACCGCTGGGGAAACAAATATGTTTCTGGAAATTGCCTGGTGGGCCGTTTTGGCAGCAACCAATATCCAAAGAGAGCATACCAAAAGTGAAAAGATCTAGTAGGACTGTTAGTAAAGCAGTCCTCACACGCAGGGAGCAAGGAGACACAAACCATGGTCATGACTCTGAAGAACACACTGTCCAAGTCCTTGGCCAGCAGGCCTGTACACGTTGCCAAAACTCCAAGCGGGAATGTTAACCCCCACCATGTCATATTGAAGGGAAATCTATGCGTCACAGCAACACTGATGAGCGCGAAGGTCAGCCATATCAGGCCAAAGCCCCACATGACGAGCGCTAGAAAGACTCCAGTGAAGTAGAGGAACTCTTCACCGTGTGTAGCGCCCGGCCTTGTCACATTAAGCGACGTATGGGGGAGTATCATGAGAGATACTTTGCCCAGCTGCTGTATGCCAAAGCCACCTTGTCCCAGGGGGCCAATAGGAAGAAAGACAGAGATGATGCTCGCCTTTGCTGGGAGGCCGTGGATAATGAGGCGGTGGAAGTACAGCGCAAGGACAGTACCTGATAAGCAAGTACCGATGCCCCAGAGAATATAGGACGCGATTAATGTGATAAAAGCGTGGTCCGGGTTTACAAGAGCCTCTGCAACGATGCCTCCGGTTGAAGACGCAACTACTACCGGGACGATTGGGAGGAGATATGCAGCTGTAATTCCCTGCAGCCCCTGACGATGTTGAAGAATCCTTTACCACATGTTAGAAGAACTCAGTGCTTCAGTGCTGGGAATAACTTACGTGACCATTGGCACCATTATGCATGTGGTCAAAGACAAAGCAGCATCTAACCACCAGAAACCCCAAGCCCAGTAAACCACCCATTGGCCCCAGACAGGTGCACAAATAAAGATCATCATGTTAATGATTGCTGTTTGTTTTCTTAGCAAATCGGTGTAAGTAATCATATCAAATTATACTCACTTGCAAATCCCATCGGGAAACAGCCAAGAAACATAGACTCAGCAGGATTTACAATCATGGCCTTCCATATCTGAGGGTACATTGCATAGCGTAAGCCCGTGATCGCAGTAAAAAGGGTAAATAGGATAACGTTGAGGCTAAAAAAGGCAATCGCGAAACCATGTGAGATCCATGTTGCGTTATAAGGGAGGCTGTGGAGAAGGACTGAGACTATGCCCGTGCCCATGATTACTGCGAACCACCTGAAGGAATGTTAAGTAGTGAAATGGACAAATTAGGGTGTATGACTCACGATGCCGTAAAGTTCTTTACGATTTTCCTCCAACCGATCTCTTCCTTGCGAGGCTCACTGTGTGCTTCGCCATCTAGTGTAGAACCCTCTGAGCGGGTTTGCATTGTCCCAAAATCTTGTGATAGGGAATTAATAGTCGCCGTGTCACTGAAGATAGACATGCTGAAGCATGTATAATAATCTCTGCCACAAGTACCGTTCCTAAGAGTTTGGATCTGAATGTTTGTGGTCCAGACTGTAAGCTTCAGCAAGTGACAAAGACAGCACGGGAAAAATTAAACGCCTAAGAGGCAAAATTTATTGAACAACTTTAGATGTGTTGTGCGACGAAAATGGTTTCTCCAAAGCCGATGGTGTTGGCCAGAGGCTGACGTCAAGAGTCCAGCAAATCTGGTGAAGGTAAACTTCAGAATGATATAGAATAGAACGGATAACTTTCCAGTGGGACTATAAGGCAGACTACATTATATAATGATGCTAACAACTGGTTTTTTTTCTGGCTATAGCCCCTTCTTGACATCTTTGAGGAAGCATTAGAAGTCATAGGATCATAGGAGCTGCTCTCTTATTCGCATTATGCTATTCGAACTCGAGTCCTTGATAGGACTCCCTGATCCAAAGTCTTACCTGATACTGATTCTCTAACAGACTGACGTTGTTGACACACCTGTTAGACCTTATCCCAACTTTGGTCCTGAAACGTCCCAACTTTGTCGTTATGCACGGCTATTTCGACTTTGACAGTGACGTGCCTAACTAGTATGAGCCTAATTGAATGTAGACCCGTGCGGCTACCGCTATGCATTAGCTGAGTGATCAGATCGGGGCCGTCCAATCCATCTAAGGAAACGGAACAAACGGCTACTTCATTGGTTTTTTTTTTTGTGTGTGTGTGTACATATTCGCGCAGTATTGCCTCAACAAGACTAAACAACAATATTAGCTGAAACGGATATTGGGGCTTCAAACTTCAATCACACACATCTCGTTCTGAGCTTTTTGTCCCCCTCGAGAATGATCGGGGCCATAGGCTGCCTATTGGGGATATCGTTGGGGTCATTCGATCTATCCATCTAGTGATGATTACAGCCAACGCGAACCGTTTGTTTCAAGACCTATTCCCATACCTTTAGGATGGTCCCTAGGCTGGGCACCTGCAGCTCTAGCAACATGGACAGATGGTCCCTATCCCTAGGACCAAAACTAAGCCCGACACTACAGCAGTTGCATGATTCGGAATCAGCGGTAAGCAACCGTTTCGGAGGTCCGCTAGTTTCTTTCAGGTAACGCTAGCCAGGCCTGGTGATTGGGGAAGTTGATTGTATTTAAGAGGCAAGATGTTGAAATCCATACACAACGAAACCAGGAAAACCCACCCTCCAGACCAGCAGCACCAAATAATAGCATCCATAGAAATGACTTTCTTGTTCCCGACGAAGATCAAGTGGCCCGTCGAGCCTAGCATTGAGAATAATGGCAATCGGTTCGACCAACTTGTTTTAGGACTAAAGAAAGCCCTTGGCCCATCGTCAGGGCTAGATTCAGCTGATGTTAACGTCATGGAGCTGATGAAGCTGATGGAGGAGTACAATACACAGGAGAACGAATGGCTAAAGTTTGCGTTTGCAGACAAATGCATGGAGTATACCCGCAACCTTGTTGACGAGGGTAACGGTAAAAGCAACCTGGTTAGCAGAATTTGACACTATTTACGACTCTGTGGGGAACACTGCGGCTAACGCAGTACGTACAGCTTGTACTTGTCTGGACTCCAGGCAAAGGCAGTCCAGTCCACGACCACGGCAACGCCCACTGCCTAATGAAAATCCTCAAGGGCAACCTGACTGAGATCCAATACGCCTTCCCATCAGGTGACAAAGAGCAACCGATGAGAGTAATATCTGAAAACACACACAAAGAGAATGCAGTAGCATATATGGCAGATGAACTCGGTGTCCATCGAATCTGCAACAGAGGCCAAGACTTCGCTGTCTCCCTTCATCGTAAGTTTGCCATTAACCTGTCCTGAAGCCACTCAGCTAATCTATTACATAGTCTATACTCCTCCCAACGTAAACAAGAGGGGGCATAGAATTTTTGACAAGAAGACTGGCAAGAGCAGTCATGTAGGTGATAGCTACTACTCAGTATACGGCCGCCAACTGCCAAAGGAGTAGACAAGTATGCCCAGACGTCTGGGTTGGTTATAGGTGTATGCATTGTTAAAATGTTTTGCAGTACTATGTTCACTATCCCTTTAGTTGCGAAATGACCTCATTATCCTCCGTGAGGGGTAGGAGCAAATCAGGTCACAGTAATTAACGCCAAAAGCCAATAGTTTTAAGGCACTTATATTTATAAAGCGTTTTAGCTATGCCAAAGGTACCAGTAATCTCTACCTTTACATAATAGTATATTATAGTCTAAGTAGCCTTATTAGGTCCTTTACTAAGCTAAACTATTATATTATGATACTACTCTAGGATATAGTTATCTAGATAGGTAATAGTTAGGTCCTCCTACTAGACCTCTACATAAATATTACTATAAATTTTAATAATAATATTAGTAATAATATTAAAATCAGTGGTGGTTGCTAACAAAATAATATTCTAGAATAATGTATTGTTATGTATCTCTGAAATATTAGGGTAAAAGTGGAGGGGGATCCACCCAGAGGATAATAAGGTCATTTTGCAACTAAAGGGATAATCAGCGCTGCCGTTAAAGCCTACTAGTAAACAGGCCACAAAATTAAGTCTATTCCCACCTATTAAACAAACAATCTATAAGCCCTTAGATTTAACAGATTAGGCTGATTTAGCTTGACGCATAAAAGAAGTATAATTTATTATTATAATATTAACTATTGTAGATAAATATTAGAGTTATTAGGTTAACTCTAATAACTTATTACTAGTAAATCCTTAGATATTTAGCTATAAATTCTCTAAGGATTTATAGGTAATAAGTTAGTTATTTAACTAACTAACCTATAATAATTATGCTTTTTTTCTTTATATATAATAAAGAACTATAGTTACTCTTATTATTTATTAATTACTACTAATATATATAGTTAACTATATTAACCTATCCCTTAGTGTTACTAACACTAATTAGTAGTTAACTTTACTATTAACTATATAAGTTAACTTTACTATCTAAACTATAGATTAGTAAGGTCTATAAGAAGAGGTAATTATTACTAGTTTATTATTTATATACCTAGAGTAAGTAAGTACTAAAAAGTGCCTTTATAAATACCCTTACTATTATAGTTTATACTAATTACCTATTATAATAGGTTAATTAATAGATCTATAACTAGTCTCTTTAACTAGTAAAAACCTTATTAATTTATATCTAGTATATAAGCTTTATTACCTTTAGAGAAGCGCTTTTAACTATAAAAAACCTTTTACTTTATATACTTATAGCTAACTAGTAATTATTTACTATATCTTATTTATTATAAGCTTTTTAGCTTACTAACTTGTTTTTTTTTATAAATACTTTTCTTTTACTAACTAATAGTGTTAATAAGTTACTAATATAATAGCTTATTATTTTCTTCTTTTTTTACTAAATAATAGCGTTAATAAGTTACTAATATAATAGCTTATTATTTTCCTCTCTTTTTACTAACTAATAGTATTAATAAGTAGCTAATATAATAGCTTATTATTTTTCTCTAAGTTATTTACTTATAAAAGAGTGTTTTTTTATTATTATTTATACTACTAGTAGTAATCTCTTTAATAAATATATACGCCTTCTAGTCTACTAAAAAAAACACCTATATTTAAGAGGTTATTAAGCTAATAGAGGATAATAGTAAATAATACTATACCTTTAAGTAAAAGACTTAAGCTAAAATAAGTAAGTATAATAAGCTTATAAGTAAGTAAGGCTTATAAGCTACTACTTTATTACTTATAAAGTAATAAAAAAAGATTTATAGTAAGTATAATATACTACTTAATATAAGGTAGTAAGTAGTAGTAATTAATAATATATTTACTTTACTTATTAACCTTATATAGTATATCTTTCTATAGTAATAAAGAAAAGATTATATTAAAAGTTACTAACTAACCTTATAAAGGAGTAATAAGCTCTTATACTTAATACTATTACTATATTTTATATTAGTAATTATAAGTATTATAACTATATTTATAGTAAATTACTTTACTATACTTATAAAGATTTTAGTAAATAGTTTATAAATAACTTTAAGGTAATTAAGTAAAAGATTCTAATAAGCTTATATAACTTCTTTATTAATTATAGTATATAGGTTAACTATAGTAAACACTTATTAATTACTTAATATATATTTAATACTCTTTAATAGAAGGAAAATATTTACTAGACTAATAAGATAATTACTATTATTAAAAGATTATTATATAACTTTAAACTATACCTTAAAGACCTTAACTTTATTAAGAATATCTAAGGTTATAATATAATTATATATAGTAGAAAACTAGTAAAGTATACTTATTACTAGTTATTACTTACTAAACCTTTTATAATAACCTAACCTTTACTTTACTACTACCTATATTAACACTAAAACCTTATATAATAGCTAAAATTAATAGCCTATATATAATAACTACTATACTACTATAAAAGCTTTTATTAACTATAGTAATATTAATAGTAATATTAAGACTAATACTAAAGTAAATAAGTAACCTTATAAAGATATACTTTAATAACTAAGCTATAAAGTATACTAGTAACTAGTATAAGACTATTAACTTAAAATTATAGTTATTCTATAACCTTTATATCTAGGTAAGTATAATATAAGACTACTATAAAGTAGTAATTTAAGTAATATTTTAAGGTAAACTATAAGAGTATTATACCTTTATCTTTTACTAATAAAGAAGTAATTTTAATACTCTAATAGTAAAGCTTAAAGAATAATTTAAAAGTAATAAAGTATATTTAGTCTATATTACTAAGCTTTACTATATATTATTTAACTTAATTACTTATTAAAACTATAGTAAAAATAAGCTTAAAATCCTTAAGTTACTTATTAAAAAAGTTACTAAGCTAGTTAAAGTAACTACTTATAATAGTCTACTTAAGGATAAAGATTATTATAAGTGCCTTATTACTTATTACTATAGTATACTTAAGTATACTATAGCTCTCTTTAACTTACTAGCTATATTCTATAGCCTTTATATATAACTATATAATAAAGTAGTAAATACTTTACTTTACTATAAGCTACTTATATAAAGCTTTATAAATAAATCTACTATAAAGAATAAGTAGTTTTAAGTTAACTATAAGTATAATAGTAACTATAATAATTATACTAATCTATAGTAAATATAAAGTTCTTTATAAAGTAACTAATATAGTAAAAACTAGTATAGTAATAAATAAACTAAAATGTACTTTATTTATAGTAAGCCTAGTTACTAGTTAACTAAGTATACTAAAGAAAAGTAGTAATCTTTATTTAACTAGTATAAAAGTACTTACTTTATATAAGCTTTACTAGCTACCTTTAACTACTTTTTTCTTAATTATAAAGGTTATAATATAAGTTATCTTTAAGAAGTTAGTAATAGTAAAGAATAACTTATTAGTAATAATAATAACTATATAAATATAGTATTCTTTATATTTACTACTTTTTTTACTTAACTATTAGTTAATAGTCTAACTATATTCTCTAAGTTATATAACTAAGTAACTACTTATATATTTCCTTATAAGAACTTACTAAAGAAGCTATTACCTAGTAAAACTATAAAAGCTAATAAAATATTAATACTTAATAAATATTATTTAGTAGTAACTTTTTATAGTATTATACTTAATACTAGTATAGCTAAGAAATTAACTATTAGCTATAAGTAATACTTTACTTTTTAGTACTACTTAAGTAAAAAGATACTTATAAATACTACCTAAATAAGTAAAGTAAGTATTTACTTTAGTAGTAGTAATTACTTTAAATCCCTAGAGGTAATTAATATACTTATATTACTTAGTAACCTTGTTTTTTATATAATAACTACTAATACTTTATTTCTCTTTTATTTAAAGGATATAGACTATTATAGTATAAAATTTAATAACCTTATTAACTAGCTAATCTAAGGTAATAATATTATACTTATTATTTACTAATTTAGTTACCTATAAATACTTTTATAACTACTAGAGAAGAGTATTACTAAGTAATACCTAATAGATAGTAAATTATATTAAATCTACTAGTAATTTAGCTACTTATTTATTTAGTAACTTTATAAGTTACTTAAATATACTAAAGAAAATACCTCTCTCTTATTAATTAAAGCTATTAATAAGTACTACTACTACTACTAATTATACTCTAAAGCTTTTAGTTACTTTAAGTTTATACTATATAATAATAATAAGTTTAACTATAAGATCTTTATTAATATAATATATCTTAATAGTAATAAACTAGTAATTTACATAGTTAATATAGTAATAGTGTTTAATATAGTAGAATTCTTATAATCTATTACTATAAAGTATATATAAGAGGCACTATAGATATACTAGATTAATTTATATCTTAGCCTACCTAATTAAATAATAACTAATATTAGCCTAAATTTTTATTAAAGTAAGTTTAAATATACTACCTATAGGTTATTTATTAAAGTAAAAAAAGTACTTATTAAAGCCTATTATAGTATTAGTAAAGTTAAGTACTATTATATACTTTTTTATTAAGCCTATAAGATTATTTATAAAGAAACTAGTACTAAACCTAAAGTTACCCTTTAACTTACTATTAAAATAATTAATAATAATATTAGCCTAGATAGCCTTGTTTTAACTCTTCTTGTGTTTAGTGTATACCCCTAAATAACTAATAAGTTACTATTTACTATAACTACTATATAATATACTAAAGCTATTAAGAAAGTAATAAATATAGTACACTAGATCTATATAAAGTAATAGCTATATAAAGTGCTAACTATATATAATAGCCTAGATTTAACTAATACTATTATTTTACCTCCTTAATCTCTTATCTATATATAGTATAAAAAATATAGCTAGTAAGGCCTATTTTACCTTATTACTAATAATAGTATAAATTATATTATTAATTTACCTTATAGCCTATATAACTTTAGGATTACTATAG